AAAAAAAAAAAAAGATTTATTTTTGCATAGAAGAACTGGGGTATAGGCCAGAGGTGTAGGGGTCCGGGGGAGAATGAGAGGATTCACCATGGATAACAGTGGGGAGCAGAACAAGTAGATGTACTGAAATACACTGCTGAGGGGAGCAACAGCCAAAACTGGAGCTGTCTGCTGTGTCATGTGTGTCAGTTCCCTGGTGAGGGATTAAACTCAGACAGTAGCCATGATAGCACCAATATTTAGCTCTGAGACCACCAGAGAGGCCCCTTATATGTCTTTCTTAGTGCATATTAGCTCCTCATGATTAATCTACCTGTCAAGGCTTTCATTTAACCCACTAACCAGAGCCAACACAAAATTAAATGTCTGTTGAGATTCGGCTGGTTGTCAATAAAACCATACATTTGAAATTATGTCACTACTCCATAATTTCTCTACAACAAAGTACAACTCCATCTGGAAGTGCTAAAAGACTTTTTCAAAAAAGGTTTGTAGCTGTCATGGACTCAGGTGGTGACTGCTGTGGTGAACAAGAAGACATTCCTTGGTACCTGTGGCTAACCAACTCCAATACTACCCAGCATGCATTCTCATTAGTATTCCGTTTTGGCTAATCATGCTTCCTAGTCACCTTGAGATGACGCAGTCTGCCTCTAGACACTTTCACAATAATCTGCAACAGTCCTTTAGTTCACATAGTCATTCTCTACTGAAAATCTTTTAGCTGGTATTTAGGTTTTACAGATGATATTGTTTTGTACTTTTCAGGATTTTATAAACCTTATTGAATTCAGAAGGTGTCCCCCTGGAGTGTCACACATCAGTTTTGGGAATCGGAAATTCCCAAAATTTCTGAACAAAAACAACAAATTTATCTTCTCTCACTCAGTGAAGACAATTTTATGGAATTAAAAACCCTGCAGTTTTGGGTCCTCCCTGGTGGTGCAGCGGGTTAAAGCACAACACTAAGAAGCTAAAGTCACTTCTGCATGAGTTCAATCCCCGCCCACCCCGGAGGTGGCAAGGTAGACCTCTCCTGGCAAGGCAGGACCTCTTCAGATCCACCCGCTGCTCCCCTCAGCAAACTACTTCCACGATCTGCCTATTCTACTCCCCACTCTGTCTCTAATGAATCCTCTCACTGCCCCTGCACCTCTGGCCTGTACCCCAGTTCTGTATGCATAAATAAATAAATCTTTAAAAAAAAAAAACCCTACAGCTTTGACATCAAACACCAAGAACCAGTGTTCTTCGATGCTTTCTTGCTTCCTCCTGCCTTAGGCTGTGCCATCCACACAGGGGCTGCGGCCCAGCCGCAGGGAGAAGCAGAGACAAGGGTACAGAGGCAGCAGCTCCAGGTTGGCTGAGCTTCCTCCCATGAGCAGAGCCCAGCTGTGACACGGTACCTTTGCATGGGAAATATTTGCTTCTAAAATACTATTTATAGTTCCATTTGTGATGTGGATGGAAGACTGAAGTTCTTCAGTTAACTTGGTGATGTTCTTGATCAAATCTTTTACTTTTACCTCTGAAAAATAATCAGAAAAGACAAAATATTATACTAATAAAAGGGTCATTAGTATCTATGAAAACAAAATGCAATATAAAACCTGGCAAGGATTGTTTTCTTCACTTTTTCTAACCCAGAGTAAGCACTAAATAAAACCTATCTTTCTCCTTTAGAAGGAATATCATTTATTTCCATTAAATTAAGAAAAAAACAGGTTATAGAGTATTTCCTGCTCACATTCTTACTTTCTCTAAGACATATTTTATGACTTTTCTCTAGAAAATGATGTTTTTGAGCATGTGTTCAGGAAACACTTCTCTTCATGTATCTATGCATCTCATTTTATTTTAACAAGATGGGGATTATTTGTGTACTTGCCAGAATTATTGAGATTTGGAGTAATATTGCTATGAGAAGTTTTACAAATGTATTGATTAAACAAATGGGAAAACAGAGACTCATAGGTAATCAAATGACTTTTCCAATGAGGCAAATTCAAAGCAAAAGTCAGACCATAGAAGTTTGTCTTTCTTGGATTTGGGATCTGCAGATTTTCAGGCTTTCCTTTCTAACCCCACTACATGGAACCAACTAAGCTTTAATTATCTTTATTTGTTACATACAGTATAACATTCCATTTGCACATTTTATTTTAGTACATTTATATGAGAAACTTTTTATTATTTTTTTTTACATCATTTTGTGCCTTTTTCCATCTCAGTTGTAATCCCCATGGGCTTCCCATCACCAGTTTACTCATGAACAAGCTAACTATTTTTTAATCAAGAAAGCATGGAGGAGCCGCATACTTACCCTCATTTACTGTAAAATTGCTCAGAAAAGTCACAACGGGATTCTCTGACAACGAAGTTTTCCCAAGGCTTTGGGCCAAACTAAAATGACAGAAAATTAAGCTAAATTAAGCAATATAAAATACCCTGAACAATGTTGGAGTGAATGATGCTGCCTCAGTTCCCAAGAGATGAGTCAAATAACAAGATCACAGATCACAATTCCATAAAACTCTTCATATAATTAGACACACAATTCCTCCTGACAATTTCTGTATATGAATATCCATTAATATCGTAACTCCAATATTTTCTTTTCATCCCCTGCCAGGCTAGATGAGTCAGGGGAATAAGGATGCATAATAAATGATGTCTCATAAATGTGAAAAGAATGAATAAAATAGATCACGGATGTATGAGAAATTAGTATATCAAGAAGTCAGATCAACATCATTCTTTCTGTGAACAAGTGTTGCTGAGTATGAAATGGCTGGTTTTCTCTTCCAGTGACTCACAATCAAAAACACTAACAAAAATTAATCCCTAGTGGGTATTTTGAAAATATTTATATGAATTTTACAGAACATATTAAATATCACATTTGAATATTTTGATTTAATATCTTGATCATTAGGAAAGTTATCCTTAGGCTACTTCTGTTTCTATAGTCTAATTTTTAAAAAAATTAAAGACATGGAAATAGTTGATGTTCAGAACATATATAGGTAATATGTATATTGATAGCATGTGGCAAATTAGGAGACATCTTCATTACAGAGGAAAACACAAAGAGGCATGATGGTCAAACTGGAGTCTACCTGTGTGTGAGCCGCTGAGCTGTGTCCAGGGTGGGCTGGCATTCACAATCTTGGACTGTGACATTTTTCAACTTTTCTATGAAGACTTCTAAGTTGCTAGAAAGATTTCTGCTCAGACTTTCACAATTTATCTGATGGAATGAGGACCATAACTTTTCAAATTCCTAGAAAAGAGAGCAATGATATAGTGAGAAACAGATATGCTTGGTTTTTTGGGCTTGAATCTGTTTTCCAAACAAATGTATTCCTCAACATGTATGTTTTTAGTTAGTTCTTACCTAAGGAGAGCGAACCCTGAAGATTGATAATATACAATCTGATCATTCCTGTGCACTGCAGAGTAGTTTCTCTTATCTGGGAGACAGCAGAATGGTACTATCACCTTGGCTGTCTGACTGACTGACTAGGAAAGGTGACATGTCCACCAAAGATGGTAGACACCAACAATATCTGCTGTGCTATGACTGTGACCTCTTAGATTTCACTCCTGGTTTGTAAACTAAAGAGTTTCAAAATTCCCAGACACAAAAAACAAAGATTCAAAAGAAATCATACAAGGCTATTCATGTATAAAAATGGTAACTGTGGGGTCCACCCTCCCTTGAAGTTCTATTGAGTAATTGGAAGTTTCCAGTCCCCCCCTCTGCAAGTGGAGGAGCTTCCAGGGCATTGAAGAGCATAGCAGAAAAAAAAAATACCTAGCTGAGGTCCTGGTACTAAGATTCTATAAATGTGTTATCAGCATCTTATACACACTAACAAGTTGTATAGACCAATCATTTGCAAAAAAAAAAAAAAAAAGAATATTTAAACAATGAAAAAAATGCATATTTATCATATGTAAAATTAAGTGACTGATGATAGAAAAGTTAAAACAATCCAGGCAAGATGGGACCAGTGTACCTCCTGTGTTCGCTTGGGTCCAGTGATGCAGAAAGAGGCCAGTGATGTCCCAATGTAAGAAAGGCCTGAAAAGAGCTCTAACTGGCCATCAGTCACATTGGAGACACAACTGCCAGCCACCTGCACCAGGCATCCAACCCCTAACCAGAAAACTCTGGAAGCCAGTTGACAGTGGCAAGAAAAAGTTCAGATGATGTTCAGTCTGGTCACCAACTGTGGGAATTTAGCCCCCTGTTGTCAACCCAGTGACCCTTTCCTCAGCTTCTAAATCTCATTGCCACCAACCAGCAGTTGAAGCAATTGAACCAGCCACTCCCCAAAGGCCAGAGTAGCAACTTTCTTCACCCAGAGACCAATGCCAGTTCAAGGGGACCCCAATGAAATCCCCCATTATTGGACAGATAAAGTTCCACACTTAGAGGCCATTGCAGGCCCTGCATGGTGATATAATAGATTAAAGTGCAGCACTATGATGCTATCCACAGCCACCACAGCACAAGTTTGATTCCTGATTGGGGAGAACTCATGACATGGCAGACCCCCTCCTGTCTTGCCTGTTGCTCTCCTCAGCAGTGTATTTCTGTGGATCTGCCTGTTCTATTTCTCATTCTTCTCTCACCCACTGCACCTCTGAACTGAACCCAAATTCTTGTATGCATAAATAAATCTTTTTAAAAATGAGGTCATTCCCAGCTTCTAGTCATTAGTTACAATGCTTTGACCATAAGAGCTGTACCTTTCCTTCTCCTGCAGCCATTGTGGCATAAAAGTCCTGTATTCATCCTTACCTGCATGACCAAGACTTGAGCAACTCTTGGCTCTCAGCCTCTGGTGGTGAGAGGTAGGCTCCCCTTGTCTTCCTGTTACCAGATACAGGAGCACACCCACAAGTAACTAGCTTTGTAAACCAGAACCAAGCTGATCCTGGCACCAAATGTCAGTAGGAAATTCCCAAGCACCAGATTCCAGCAACTGGCAGCCAGTCTCTTGATTTAGACCAAGGCTCACCCCAACTTCCAGCTACCAGCTATTGGAGACCAACTACTATCCAGAGATTCAATGGCAGGACCTAGGATAAACTGGCTGTAGGTCCTGAACAGTAAAACATGGAAAACATGTGGGAGAGACAGTGCTGTAGATAAGAACAGGATTGATATCCTTTAGAAGCAGAAAGCAACATCGACTTCAAGATGTTAAACATTGAAGAGTTTCAAACAACATTGTATATAGGCTTTACAGCAACCAACACTGACAACTGTAAAAAAGGAAATAATGGGAATGGGGAGAAGATGAGGATGAAAACAAATCATGGAGAGAAGACAAAGTACAACAAACAGCAACCTAAAGTTTCAGGGGGAATATAACATCACAGAGAGAGAAAAAAATTTCCAGAATTCAATCACAAAGCTATGGAAGATCTGTTTTGTTTTGTTTTGTTTTCTATCAGGTACATAATTCAAAATTACAATGAAAAAAGAAATGGTAGAAAAGTTAAAAATATATATGAATAAATGCCCTGAGAAATAAAATAAACGAACAGCAGATGCAAATAAGAAAAGAACAGAGGTACAGGATGTAAAAAGATCAATAGAAGAAATTGCAAATTCTGGAGTAAATTACAGAAGTAGAATAGACCAGATAGAAGATGTGAATGTACAAAGAATGAGCAGAAAAATAGAAAAACAAAGTAAAATAAAAAATGAAGAACCACTCTGATTCCATGAGGAAAGGCAATCTAAGAATAATGGGTATTCCAGAAGGGTATGAAAAGGAACAGTACATTTATTTGAGGAAATGGCAGAGAACTTCCTGAATCTGAAGAATTAAATATATTCAAAATCATGGGTCTAAAAGAACACTGGATTTGCTAATAAGATCAACTTCATGATATAATAATATCTTGAATAACTATGAGATACCAAATATACAAAACAAGTTGGAAGTTGAATTTGGAAAAGCATTAAGATATAAATGAACCCCAATCAGGACAACACTGGAATTCTCTGAAGAAACACTGTAGACAAGAAGAGAATGGAATAATGTAATCAAAATAAAGATAAAAACTTTTAGCCACAAATATTCTACTGTTCAAGACTCTTTATATCTGAGGAGAAATTAAGACCTCATTGGACAAACAGAAACTGAAGGTGTTTGCAATACTAGAGCCCCCTGACATGAAATATTAAGAGTCACCTTTGTATCTAAACCAAAGGGAGGAACATAAAATTCTGAACAAATAAGTAGTCATAAAATTAATGACAAAAACACACCAACAAAATTTCATAAATTATCACTCAAAATAAATAGACTAAATTTAATAATTAAAAGTTTCAGCATATCTATTGGATTAGGAAAGAAAATTTAATTTTCTGCTGCCTCTAGGAAACACATCTAAGCTCCAAAGATAAATATAGACTGAGAATAAAGAGTCACAAAGCAATCCTACAAGCAATTGGGACTCAAAGGAAGGCAGGAATAGGCATACTTATGTCAGACAAAATAAATTTCCAGTTAAAAAAGAATCAAGCGACAGTGATGGACACTATATAACTATTAGGGGAATAGTATATCAATAAGACATAACACTCATCACTATAGTCATCAAATGAAGATGCACCAAAACACATTAGGTTATTACTATAAACCCTAAAACAAGCATTAGAAAATACATTTGTGACCAGTGACTTCAATACAATGCTCTTACTACACTACAAATCAATGAAATATAAAATAAATAGGTATACAAAGAATTAAACAAAGAATTAGATCACGCAGACCTAATATGTAATAGGAATATATATATGTGTGTGTATATATATAAGTATATATATATATATGTGTGTGTGTGTGTGTATACGTATATATATATATACATAAATACATAAATATATATATATATATTTATGCGCACACACATAAAGCACAACAATGCCACAAAACTAAAATACATCTGTTTCAAATGCATGTGGAACAATCTCCATGACTGGTCACAAGTATCAACAAATTCAAGAAGACTGAAATCATACCAAACATCTTTTCTGACTATAAAGGTATTGAACATGAAATCAATTACAAAAAGAAAGCAGAAAAAGTCTACTATTTGGAGACACTATTGAAAGACTACAGGATTACTGAGGAAATCAAAAATACCACCACATAAATAACAATGAGAACACAACTTCCCAGAACTTATGGGATGGACAAGAGCATCAAATAGGAAAGTATTTAATAATATAGTACCACATCAGGCAACAAGAAAGAGCTCAGATAAATAACCTTCTCTCTCACTTTAAAAACAATAAAAAAAGAGAAGCAAAACTAAAGTGATAAATGCTTAAACATAATTTAATGAAAACAACTTTAAAAGACAATTCAAAAGATAAATGATAAGAAAAGTTCATTCTTCAAAGAATACATAAAATAAATAAATTTCAAGCTCAATAAAGAAAAAAGGGAAAAAATTTAAAAATATGATCAGAAATGAAGTAGAAGTTACAAATAGATCATGTAGTCACCCAGAGGATAATCAGAGATTACTATGAACATGTAAACATGTAAACAAATTCAGCTATCTGGATGGCATGGACAAATTTTTAGAATTATACAATCATCTAAAATGTATAGGAAACAAATAGAAAACCTGAATATACCAATCACAGCAAGAAAATTAAAAAGCTAATCAAAAGTCTTGCAGGAAACAAAAGTTCAAGACCAGATGGCTTCACAAGTAAAATCTAGCAGTCCTTCAAAGATGGGCTAATAACTATCCTCCTCAATTTCTTTCAAAAATATGAAAAAGAAGAAAGATACTCTATGAGGTCCACATTACATTAATCCAAAAACTAAACAATAGTCACACACACACACACACACACACACAAAATAAAAAACAAACAAACAAAAACAATGTAAGGCTAGTATCCTTAATATATCCTTAATGAAAACAGATGCAAAAATCCTCATTAAAATCTTAGCAAAATAAATCTCTAAAATAAATCCCTGCATTGACAGGAATTTACATCATTACCAAGTGGAATTTTATATCAGCAACAACAGAATGTTTCAGTATACAAAAATCAATCAATGTAATTAAACAGATCAATAAAATGAAAACCATATAATCCTATCAGTAGATGTTGAGAAAGCATTTGATAAGATACAACATCTACTGGACAAAAGGAACATTGCTCAACAAAATAAAGGCCATATATGACAATTCCTAGCTAACACTAACATCATTTTCAATGGTGAAAAACAAGAA